TCGCTCGCTCGCTCGCTCGCTCGCTCCTGCCGGCCTCCCGCTCTCTCCCACCGCCCACCCTCTCACTCCACTCTCTTTCGGGCTGTCTCTATTCTACGACATCGTCACTCTTGCGCGTTTTTCCTTCCATTTATTTACGGCTAGCCAGCCGCGTTTCCGCGCAACTCAAATTTTGGCTAGAGTATGTGCCTGCTGGGGGATCATCTGCCCCCAGCAGGCGTTTGATCCAAATTTCCCTACTCTCTCCAGTATGTTGCGAGGGCTGCCCTCGCGCCTCGGCGCCCGAGAACGAACGATTTATTGAGTTACGGCTTTGTACGCGGCAGTCAGGAGGTTGGTCAGGTAAGTAAGCCAGTCTGTGTAAAGCGTTTAGTAAGAGATTAAGGACTAGGTCCAGCCCTACCCTGGGTGAGCCAGATCTGACGTTTTGTATCTGAAAGTATAGAGATGGGAGTGAGGTTGAACCGGACCCAATCAAAGTCGGCGGGTTTCGGAGGGGGGGGGATATGACGAAAAACGGCGGGCGCATTTGGGCACATGACTGGGAGAACTCTGTGGTGGACCCGCTGGGCGAAAGGAGCTCGCAGACCGTTGCAGCCTCACGATGTCATTGAGCGGAGCGAGTGCGAGCGCGGCGGCCAAGCAGCGGCACCAGGAGCAGCGGCGAGCTGACACGAGCGCGCTCGTGACATCGCGTCAGATCCGTGTTTTCTCGTCTACCGCACCTTTTCTTTCGAGAATTGGTCCGCTCATCGCATGGAGGCCTCTCATGCGAATCTTACCGCCTTACGGGCAACCCGAACTCCCACACACGCCAATACACGCGCTTCCGGCGCCCTGCATGACCCTCTCCACGCACACCGCGTGAAAACTGCACGTACGTCCCCGCGCGCACGCAAACACGCGCAGCGCCATTTCAGAGCTGTGCCATGTGCGTCTGCTCTGTGCTGGCACCCCATGGCTGTCCCGAGCCGCCCGCACCAGCCACGCGCCTCTCGCACCACCAGAGCCCGGCGCACGACCACTCACGCCGCGACGCGCGCGCCGCAGTGCACCTCTCACTGCAGTCTGCGCCCACTGCACAGGCGCCTGCACCTTCTTCAGGCACCATGCCGCACCGGAGCGCGACGCGCCCGGCAGGACGCTTCACCGCGAGGCGCGCGCGGCGGCACGCCGCGCGCGCAGGCCACCGAGCACGCGCTCCGTTACCCAAGCAGGGCTGCTGTGCAGACTGCATGCAGCCTGCACAACAGCCCTGTTCTGAACCATTCAGCCCGCGTGCTCCGCTGCGCCCCTGCCGCCTCGCGTCCTGCACTGCACGAGGCGCGCGCGTGGCACGCTGCGCGCGCGTGGCACGCTGCGCGCGCGCTCCGCCATATCCGTTCAGTTTGCTGTCCAGTCTGACTGCACACAGCACACAGCACATGCAAGGAACCCCCACCCAAGGTACATGTGCACGCCGCGCAGTCCCCGCACAGCGATGCAGCCCGCACCCCGCGACAGCCCTACGTAGAGCCAGCCTGCCTCACGTCGAGCCCGCGCATGCCGCACGCAGTACTGCTACTTGTGCGCACTGACCACTGTATTAACCTCGGTATTTCTTGTTTGCCACAAAAAGAAAACAAAAAAGTCAAAGACTTCGCCGCGCCTCCTCGAGCAACGCCCCGACACCTTCGACCCCACCGAAAAAGAAGGGAGAGTGCGCGCCACTAAAAATATTCTGCCGAAATTCTTACGACAAACGGCCTGTCCCAAAAAGAATTCCAAGAAAGAAAAACACGGAACCCCTATGGAGAACGCCGAGGCTTTTTTTGCTGACAGGAAAGAAAAAAACACCGCGGGGACCCACTTCCCCCCTCCCCCCCCGAGGTTCAGAAAATAAAAGAAAAACAGCCGAACCCCAGTAGGTATAACGCCGAGTGCCGGACCACCAGGGGGCAAGTGTGTGTAGCACCTTCGACCCCGAAATGAAGGTCGCCACGCAAAACCGGGCGCTAGGAGAGGTGAACTGAAGGCTGAGACAACGGAGGCCGAGCCTGAGTGGGCGCCCGCGCGCCCCCACACAGGCAAGCCTCTGTCCTTCGGCCCACTCCGGCGATCGTCCGTGGGCGGCCGCGGACAACATGGGGCCTAATCAATTCCTCCCTCAACACCCGACCCCACTCTAGGGACAGCAGCGCGCTTCTCATCCCGGAGAGGGAAGGAGGGGGGGGGGGGGGGGGAAATCAAAAAACCAAGGCAGGGAGTACCCCCCACGGACCCGAGTCGGGGGGAAAGCGAGACCAGAGATTCAAGGGGAACTTTATCACCCGTCCAGGAGCCCCCCATTAGGGAGCGACCCCCGGTTCAAAACTAGGCTTCCCGACAGGGCAGGGAACCCCCAGCGCGCAGGCGGGGCCCACGGTAGCCTCGTGCAATACCCGATACCCAAAGCTGGGGGAAAAGCCCCCCCCCCCAAGGGGGACCAATGACGGGGGGGGGAAAATAATGTCTTTCCCAGGGGAAAAACAATTTTTTTTCTCGGCTTGGGGGAAATTTTTTCGGTTGCCACCTTAAGGTCCGCCGTCCGGGCATGGGAAGGGTCGAAATAACCCCCCGAACTTCATTCAAACATTCAAATCCAGGTAACGTGGTTTAAAAACCCTCCTCCTTTAGAAGGACCCAAAAGCCGCAAAATTTTGTCGGCCTCCAATGCTCCCCGATG